CATCTTTGCCAACATAGCTATGCACAGTTTGGTACAACCTGACATATCTTAGGTCCTACAGAGCCTCAACTGGTCCACCATCTGCCCATGTTTACATCAGTCTCTCCGGAAATGTACTGCGTGCGTACAAAAAGCTGGCATCTAGAACCACTAGCAGGTACTGAGGAAAGGGCAAATAATAGACACTAAGAGATCATTGACTATTCATCAGGTTAGCCATTTCTTGTGGGCCAACCATATTATGGTTGGTCATGGGCCTCATGTGGCTGATGCCTGATGGGTCGGTCGTCATAGCATTTTGTAGGCCCGACCAGTTTCATGGGCCAGGCCTATGGTACCTCTCAATTATCCTGGAGGCTGGGGCTCGTTTACTCATGTGCGTGAGGCATCATGCACATTCATCTTGGTCTCTATTAAAAAAAAAAAAATCTTGGTCTCTCAGATTCTCGGCTAGTAGTGGTCATTATTGTCTGCTTTCCATCAGATCAGACATTGTCAGAGTAATTCTTGGTTTTCCTTGCTCTTGTTGATCACCCATAGTCTTTTATCCTGGAGAGTGGCATGATTCATTGAAATTGAACTTTTCAAGGTGATTATTAGATAAAGGGTTTCTTACTTTGTCCGCAGACAAGAAAAAAAAACTGCATATTTAGCTGTACCGTACCTTTACTTGAATGACATGGTTAGTTTAATTTGTACTTTGGAATAGCAGTATCTATCCTCCTTTGACAACTCTTCTTTTGCATGAAAGAAACACTTCCTTTCCTCGGCATATGTTGAGCATATATAGTAGGCGAGAGTCAAGTTTACCATTATGGCCCTCACATGACGCTTTAGTCGTAGCATTTAAGATAGTATTATCTGATGTTCAAAGGTGTTAATCATGTCACCCTGGAGTGCCTCGGATAAGGTTCATGCCTGGTCATTAGGGAAGGTCTCTCGCTCCTGCACATGGCTCCTGTTGTCAATCGGCAGCAGACAACAAATCCTGCTGTTGATACGGTAGTTAACGTTTATGTTTAATCTTTGTTCCCACAGTTGCTGCTGCTACATTCAGATGAATGTGAAACCTGCATCCCATTTATTTTTTCTCTAATCAGCACAGTATTCTAGGATCTTGTTTATGTTCTGATACAGTTTATCATGGTCATCTTGCACATGTAGCATTGTACCACATATGCTATATATACTCCCTCCATCCAAAAAAGAATACAATTCTCCAATAGTGTTCAGTCAAACTACCTTAAGTTGGACTAAGTTTATTTTAAAAGATATTAATGTTTATCATACTAAATGAGTATCATTATATTTATCATAGAATATATTGTGGTAATATACCTATTTGGAGTTTTAACTGTTATTTTCTAAGAACTCAGTTAAATCTAAGTTCTGACCAAACATAGAATTGCATTCTTTTCTGAAAAGAACCGATGCAGTATGTATTTTCTCTCTTTCAGGCTACTTGCGGCTGGGGAGTCTTTACACCGCGAGATGCGCTTCCATACCCTATTAGGTGACCTAAGGCTTCCACTCTAGATTCTTCATGCACTTTGTTTAAGCTCCCTTGTGCTTCACACAAGTGGACACGAAGGCAATGCAACTGTGTTAGTATTACAGCTAGTGCTACAGCCTTTCCCTTAACAATTAATTATATACTCCAGGCTGATTGCGCCGCGTCAGCTTGGTTAGGTCAGGTTTCTCCAGGCATCTGCCATACCACTGCTCTGAATTATCTGACCGGCGGCCGGCAACCCTGTAGAGCTCCATGCATTTTTAGGCAAAGTTCTATAGCGTAGAGGGACTGAGACTTAAGATCGAGCAATATGTGTTGTTCAGTGCCCCCTAAAATATTTCCTGGATCCGTCGCTGCACGTACAAGGCTTTCCGACGTAGTAGGCAGTCAGGTCAGGCAAGAAAGGGGCCAGCCAGACAGATCTCGTCCATCTTTTGATACGTGCTGTTTGGAATCTTGCCTCCTCCCCTGTCTGAAACCTGCCTCTAACTAAGACCGTCAGCTTGGCCAGCCAGACCTTTTTTCTGAGTATCCTATTAGGTTAGTTGCCAAACTTTTTCATGAAACCGGTGAACCGGCCGGTTCTGTCTGGACCGTCCCGGTCTGAAGCTCGGTTCTGTCTGGACCGTCCCGGTCTGAAGCTCAGTTGTCGTGGCGCGTGCTGCTCTCCTGCTGTGTGCGCAGCTGCCGTCATGGGCCAGCCTGGCTACTGCTGCTGCCTGCGCCTGTGGACGATTGGACTTTGGGCTCTGTTGGTTGACAGCCGTGAATGTTTGGACCTTTTTTTTTTTGGATTGGAGGAGGTAGCTGTCGATGTTTGAAAGTGACGTGTGCGTGTATACAATGTCTGCGGTGCCACGCATCATGCACATGCACTTGTTAACCTTAGACTCCGTATTTTTAATTTCCAAAAAATTGATACAGTAATTTTTTATATGAGCCCTTAATTAAATAAATAATATATCCATCAAGAATATTTTGTATGACACTCTATTTCAACATTTGAGATTATTTTCATAACAATGAATATTTGAATTACAATTTTAATCTTCTCAAAGCAATTTTAAGTGCTCCATATATTTTATTTTCATGTGTATATATAATTTTCTTAGCTAGATTAGTTGGAAAATGATTTTATAATTGTGTTCTTTATTAGATTATTTGTATATTTGATCAACTACATGTTGCTAATTAATAGTTATATATCGTTATATTACACCAGTCTGAAGTATTTATGGGCGGTTCGATTCTCCGGTCCAAAACTAACGAACCGGCGGTTCAACCGGTTCTTAGCGGTTGGACCAATGAACCATTGAACCGACGGTCTTCGCCAGTTTGATCTCCGGTCCGGTTTGAAAAACTTGGGGCAAAATGCCCTGTAGCGTCACTGTAGCATTTCGTTTGTATTTAGTAATAATTGTCCAACCGTTGACTAATTATGCTCAAAATGTTCGTCTCGCGAAGTACAATCAAACTGTGCAATTAATTTTTGATTTCGTCTATTTTTAGTACTACATGCATGTACCACAAGTTTAATGTGACGGAGAATCTTCTTTTTGCATAGTGCCAAAGTTGGGAGTTTGAAAGGAACTAAGTGCCTCTTTAGTTTTCAAAATTTTGCAAAATTTTTCAAGATTCTCCGTCATATCAAATCTTTGAACGCATGCATGAAGCATTAAATATAAATAAAAAATAAAACTAATTATACAGTTTAGACGAAATTCACGAGACGAATATTTTAAGCCTAATTAGACTATGATCGGACACTAATTGTCAAATAACAACGAAAGTGCTACAATACTATTTCCTAAAAAAATTCGTCAACTAAACAACATCTAGGCCTTGTTTAGATTGGGGTTAGAAATCAGTATTCGGCACTGTAGCACTTTCGTTTGTATTTAATAATTATTGTCCAATCATGACCTAACTAGGCTCAAAAGATTCGTCTTGTAATTTACAATTAAACTGTTTAATTAGTTATTTTTTATCTACATTTAATACTCTATACAAGACGGAGAAAGAGTAAAAAACTTACAATCTAAACAAGGCCCTGATGCAAAAACTTTGGCACTAGGGCAAATTGAGCCCACTTGGACACTGAAACTTTTGCTGAGCCTTTCCGAACAAAAAGGTAAAGAACCGCTCACTGCCACTGATGATAGTCTAGTCTAGTACTTCTACTCTAGCGAGGGATCGGGACATTGAAATCCCCAAATGTCGGCATCGCCGCTTCTTCAATGTATGGTTCTTGGGCATCTGATGTTTTTTTACCATGTTGTTTGGGCCTCGTTTAGATTGCAAGTTTTTTCACTCTCTACCCTGTTGTTTGGTTAAAAAATAACTAATTACACAATTTGATTGTAAATTACGAAGGCTATGATTGGAATGCCATTGCACATCCACCACCATCTAAATAAGGAAATGATTGGTTGTTTGGAGAGTGAGATGCCATTGCACATCCACAATCATCAGAGGTGAAATGATTGGTTGTATGATGTAGACAGATAACAGTAGAAAGCATTGAAGCAATGACTGCTTGAGCCTTTGGCCATTTGCAGTTATCTTTCTTTTGCATCTCCTTTTTTCCTTACTTGAAATGAAATTCAGCTCCATGGCCTGGGATTAGATCATTTAACTTTTTCTGTCTAAACCTCTGTTTTAGAAAGTTGAAAAAAATGAGTGCCCAGAGCAGTAGAAAAAAAGAGAAGGGAATCAGGGAGAGAAGAACAAAATCCCCATGAGGACATTTCTCTGTTTCTTGAAGGAGCAGGGGAGGGAGATGATAGCTAGATACACATCAGCTTCATGCATCACAGTCCATTCTTGGGTCCACCCACATCTCACAGTTCTACTCCTACAGTCCTCCTACCACAGATGACACGCACATACAGTACATGCTTTCAAGCATGTCCTTTTGTTTTTTTGCATGTGTGTCACCATCTGTCACTCTCTCTAGCTACCCTTCCTTTTCAACCTGATGTTTCCTGAAACCTCCTAGCTATTGCTACCTGCTACTGCGCCCGCAAGGGGCCCGGCCGGACCCCGTACTGCACGTAGGGTTTCTGGAAGACATGGGGAGAAAAAGGGCCAGTCTGGGGTCTGCGGTGATGGAAGGAAGATTGCCCGGGAAACAAGGGATCTCACCATCCTTTTCATTCCGCTGGTCAATTCAAACCTGTCGCTCAGTACAGACAGAGTAGAGAATAGTAGTAGTGGTAGCTAGTTTCTTCATTGCTGGTTGTTTAGGCTCCTGCGCAGAGCAGGGCCTCAGATCTCCTTCCTCCTCTGCTCCTGTCTTATGAACTACCCCTGTTGACAAAGAAACACAAAACATACTAAGCCTTCACTCATAATTACTCCCATACAAGTTTAAGTAAAAAAATCGGATTCTTTGCTAATATTGTTCAATTTCACTAATTAATTCTATCAGCTTCAACTAATAGTAGTATATTGCAACTGATCTCGGTGATGTTTGTAATACTCCTACCTACCAGTAACTGGGAACGGCGGGCACTGCTGCGTAGGGACTCTGGTGCATGTAGCCGTACATTGCCGTCGGCGTCTCTGGCTCAGGCTCCGGGCCGCAATCGAGGTTGACGCCGAACAGCCGGAGCTTCCTCGACGGCGCCGTAGGTGTGCCGCTGCTCTTGCCGTCTGCCTCACCTGCAGTCGTCGACCGAAAATGATGTGAGCTGACACAATCTCTGCTATTTTCAACTAGTTTTCGCTTAGATGTCACCGAATTTTTTACGGTAGCAATTTTGACCATATATTTTTTCTATAAAAGATTGTTAGGTACATCAAGTTTTCACATATACGATTCTTTATTGAACATATTTCATTAGTGTTATATACATTGAAGTATCTAATATTTTTTTTAAAAAAAAAGATAGTCAAATTTACTATAGTAAAAAGTTGCTCACAAATAAACGCAAACAGAGGAAGTACCTTTGCTAGCAGCATCACGTCAATCATAAAAAGGTGTTGTTCTGTTCTTGGATGCTTTCTTACCTGCGTGTGGCGTATCGTTGTGGTAGGCGTAGGGGCTGGCGGGGCTGGTCGGGTACGACGATCCCGACGTGCTGTAGCACATGGGGCTCCGCGGCTGCTGCTCGCTGGCGGCGTTCAGCGCGGGTGCCGGGGCGCGCACGGGCGGTGGCGGCGTCGGTGCCGGTGCTGCCGCGCTCTCACCACGGCGCCTGCAGCAGATGAAGAGGCGGTCGCCGGCGCCGAGTCCGCCGCGCACCCGCTCGAAGCACACGACGTCGCCGGCGTCGAGGCGCTTCTCCTTGACGTAGCGGCTCCAGCCCTTGGTGAGCACGTAGCTCTGGCTGCTGGTCCAGTAAGAGTACCGGAACCGCCACGGCTTGCCGGCCTCGTCCTCGAAGGCCAGCAGCAGGCCCTTCTCGCTGCCGTCTCCACCCCCGTTGCCGCCAAGGGGGAAGTACCTCTCGGCATGCTGCTTGGGGATCACCAGGCGGTTGAGCTTTCCCACGTCGCTGGGCGTGAGCGGCTTCTCGAACAGGTGCTCCCTCTCGTACTGGTGGTGGTGGTAGTGCAGGTTGGTGTACATGGCCATCCCCCACGGCCACCCCGGCTGGGGGTGCCCCTGGGCGAGATGGTGCATAGCCATTCTTGCCTTGTTGGTGTGGAGGAATGCTAAGCTACTAGAGGTGGAAGAAAGAAAGAGAGGTTCTTGCCAAAAGATTGGCAGCGAGGAGAGGGAGAGTGGTGGTGTGCTGTGTAGAGGGAGGCATGCCGCTATGTCGTTTGCTAGTCTAAAAAAAAAACTGATTGAAATTGGCTGGTTATGCTAGAAAAAAGTACTGTTCGACTGATACAATGAAATGTGAGGGCAACCAGCCGGCCCAAGTAGCGGTAGCAGAAGAAACTCTAGAGATGGTCAGGGTGGCCTGTACATGTACTGTACTATTGATATATAATTATTTGATCTTGTTGCAGGTGCATTTGATCTTGTTGAGGAGGGAGGGAGAGAGAGAGGATCATGAGTAGTACAGCAGCGGTAGCAGAAGAAACTCTAGAGATGGTCAGGGTGGCCTGTACATGTACTGTACTATTGATATATAATTATTTCCATGGTAGGAGTACATGTACATGCATGATGAGTACTGTAGGAAACTTTTTGCTGCTTAGGAGGGAGGGAGGTCTTTGGTGCAGGTGCATTTGATCTTGAGGAGGGAGGGAGAGAGAGAGAGGATCATGAGTAGTACAGCTAGAATATTATTTTAACCTTAGGTAGACAGGAAGAATCGAAGTGAAGGAAGGGCTTCAAAGGTGATGAGGTGTAGCCCCCCGCTGAGGAATGATCAGGTGGTGGCACTTAAAAAGTTGGCGCCTGGCCATTGTGGCCTAATCACAGCCATCCAGGCCGGGGTCCGGGACACGGCAGGCTACCATGCCTTTCCATGTGCGAGGGGTGGGTTGGGGCCTTTGCTATGCATTGCATCGCCTCGCATGCATGGCTACTGTCCTGATGAAACTCCCTTCCGTGCTTGCTTGTTCCTCTCTCCTTTTCTAACCTTCTTTTCCTGCTTGCTTGCAGTAGAGTAGAGAGATCCAGGTAACCCTGGGTCTTGTTTAGTTCCTCCGAACTCTTGAAAAGTGCACTATACAAAAAGAAGATTCTCCATCACATCAAACTTACGGTACATGTATGGAGTACTAAATGTAGACGAAATTAAAAACTAATTGCATAATTTGGTTGTACTTTGCGAGACGAATTTTTTGAGTCTAATTAGTCCATGTTTGGACAATAATTCACAAATACAAACAAAATGCTACAGTGGAGAACCTTTTACTGTGCAAAGTTTGCACCTCTAAAGTTTGGACAAGGGCCTAGGCCATGTTTAGTTCCCCATTTTCGGAAATTTGCCTATCTGAAAGAAGATTCTTCGTCACATCAAACTTATGTTTAGAAATGTTGATGAAATCAAAAACTAATTGCACAGCTTTGGTTGTACTTTGCACAAATAATTAGTCAACGATTGGACAATTATTACCAAATGAAACAAATCTTTTTACTGTGCAAAGTTTGCACCTCCAAAGTCTGGACAAGGCCCTGGTGTTTCAGGCCACTCACACACTTCCCATTTGGCTTTGGAAAGGTGCAAGAAAGGGGGTCTTGGACACTCCAGGTTACCATCTCAATTTCCCATACGGCCCTGTCTCTTGCGTACCATCTCGGAACCAAATGGATTTTAACCTGAAGAGATGGATGGAATGACAGGTTTTGCTGGCCTGTCTGCCTCTACTACTACCACTCTACTGTACCAGGCAGTAGTTCAGTTCAGTTCATCCCTGGCCACTTGGATTATAGCTGAGTGAGGAGCTGGTGGGCAATAACTTGTTCATGCCATGACTCATGTGAGTAGTGGGCTTTGTCATGTGAGATAAGTAAGTAGATGTGACATTTGAGGTGTACTGTATGCATTGCATTGCATTGCATGGGCAACATGTGTAGTGTGCAGCTCTAATTATCATGCACCAGCAGCTTGTACTGAACCAGCCACTTGTTTTTGGTCTCAGATTCATTGCACACCATCAAGGGGCTCGGTCAGTCCCATTGAAGAAGGCCCGGCTGTCCACCACCCTCTTCCTCTTGAGAGGACAAGACTTGCAAGCGAGCGAGGTCCGCTGGCTTTTGGTTGGATTCTCTTATTACGCCCCCATGACCATTGAGGCCATGAATTCATTGCAATGCAATGCTGCTGCATTATTCCCATTCAAACCATGGGTGCAGGACGACGACCTGCCCTGCCCCCCTGGTCCGGACGCTGCACTGCTGGGACGAGAGCCTTAACATGGTGGCCATCGAGGCTTGCGTGGGGGCAAAGCGACTGTGCCTGCCCCTCCTGCTGCAGCTGCTGCCTGTGGTTGGCATTGGCATTTGGCATTGGAGGATTATATATATAATTGGCGGTTGTTAATCAGGCATTTGGGAGGCACCTCCTGTTGTTGGAAGATTGGGCAACAGGGCACCAGATGATCTGTCCGCGCCATGCATTTAGCAATTTTCAATGGCAGATCTGTATCAGATTCCGTAAACTACTGGGGATATGAAATCGCCGGTGTCGCTTTGCTTGCTTCTTTGGAGACAGGTATTCCGTCACATGGTTCTGATTTCTGAACCCCCTGCGTCTAAGTGGGTTAGATGCATGCATTGTTCTCGCGCTAATGCGTGCTTATGTTTTGTTTGGGTATTATTCAGCCTGTCAGCCTTTGGAGAAACCGGCGGGGCCGAGACGAGACGAGAGGAGAGGAGTGCTGCTTGCTGCTATTATATATCATCAGATGCTACTGCACTGTACTGTACTGTCCGGAATCCAATCATAACGGTGCGCTAACGGAACGGATCTCGAATAACTAATTGCTATAGCTTCCCGTTCATCTCATTGCATTGCATCTGGTTTAGCAATTGAGTAGTACTGTACTCTCTAAGATGCATTTGGTTGGTGGTCACTTGCTTAATCAGATACCACTAGTGCTAGGCAGAGTCATTTCTTTCTGCTGTAATGTAAAAAGCCTTTTCACCTGCAGGAAGGGGGAAAAAATATAGGAAGTGCGTGTGGGATTTATACCATCTCACGTGGCCTTGGCATGACCTGTACTCCGTACGTCTGCTGCGTCCTGCTGCTGCCTTGCTGTCACTGATGAGAGGCTCCAAGTTCCGAAATGCCATAGCAAAAATCTTCTGAAACGGGAGAGGAGCGCCAGAGATCTCCCCACGCCGAGGTTCTCCAATTTCCAACAAGTTGGCGAATCAGGTGGGCAGATTTTTGTCCCCGGTTTCATTCACCGCGCGTAACTACAACATCGATCTGGGCCTTGTTTAGATCCATCAAAATTCCAAGTTTTTTCACTATTTCTCCATCACATCAATTTTTGACACATGTACGGAGCATTAAATATAGGTAAAAAATAATTAATTGCACGGTTTGGTTGTAAATCAACAAAAACCTAATCTTTTCTGAGCCTAGTTAGTCCATGAATCCTCGATAAAATTTGTCAAATTATTCTACGTAAACGTTATTTCTTCCTGCAGCGTGTGCATGCATTATATGAAGAGTTTGCTACTACTAAATATAAAACTCTGGTCCGCACCTCATGTCATGGCTTTTAGGATCCTCTGGTCCTTCCTCATGTCATGGACTCCTGGTGCCTGCACTACTACACTTAATCCTCGACCAATCCCTAGAAATTATTCTACATAAGCTTTATTTCTTCCTGCAGCGTGTGCATGCACATATATGAGAGAGTTTGTACTACTACGAAATATAAAACAAGTCCTGCCCCCTTGCTCAGCCAGTAGCTAGCTACACGTACTATGTTAGTGATTGGTGTGCTTAGAGATCAGAATAGTGCTAGTAATATACTACTCCCTCCGTCCCAAAATAAGTGACGTTCTCGTTTCTTGAGAAACAACGGTCAGTAATTATATATTAAAATATATAAATATTTATGCTAAGTAATTAGTATCATCGAAAAAATATTTTTGTCTAGTTTTTTAATAAATTTATTTAAAGATATAAATATTGTATGTATTTTCTACAAATCGAGTCAAACTTGTAACAAAAACAAAAAACATCATTTATTTTGGGACGGAGGGAGCAGTATTTAGTTGCGTTAGTACATACTCCCTCCTTCTCATTGAGTTTGTCGCTGGGGAATCGGGATTATGAGGGGGGCACGGTTTTCAAACGACAAACTCCTCAGCTCATTGAGATTTTCCGTCACATCAAATCTTGCGGCACATCGGGATTAAATGAGGTAAAAAAAAACTAATTGCACGGTTTTCAATTGACGAGGCAAACTCAAAATAGTCCATAATGGGACGGAGGGAGTATGCTTGCTTGGAGTACAGTATTGGTCTATGTTTAGCATCTCCGGGGCCTATGAGTACGATGCATGCACGACCGAGTCCACGTTGGTGGTTTTGCGAGATGGAATCTCGTGTCAAGCTAAGAAAAGTGATGATGGTTACTCGATCGCAAGCAGCTCCACCCACCCCGGAATGCATGATGAGGGTCCGGATTTGGAAAACCTTAAACACTCCGGTTTTTAACCTGAGGGTTTCCTTTTCATACGCGTGCATGTGCTAGTTCTTAGACCCTCTCGAGGGGCGAAAAAAGGTGCCTCAGGTGTAACAAATTTATTTGAAGATATAAATACTGCATGTATTTTTTATAAATCGAGTTAAACTTATGACATGAAAACTCAAAACGACATTTATTTTGGGACAGAGGGAGCATGTAATTATGCGTTACATGCATGATTTCATCGAGTGTCAGGTGCATCATTGAAGCTCGCTCCGCTGATCATCCACACAGCACGGCAGGGCACACATCTCCCGAGACTGAACTGTGCGTGTGCTACTGTTATATACTATACCAATATCATATCATATCATATCCCATCGTATCGTATCATTTTCAGGCGTGACCACGAGGCAGTCAGCCAGCAGCAGCATGCAGCCCCGGAACACACACACCGCAGCTAGTGCTGCCTTTTTTTTTTTCTCCTGGCTGCATCTGCATGGTGGCTGCTCCCTCCTCCGATCCTCCTCGCGGCTCAATCATGCAGCTCACCTGCCCAACAATCTTTTCTCCGTGCACA